ATTTTGGACGATCAGCTTTCATGGAAGCTATCTGGTCCACATCTCATTTTTGCCTAGATAATAACCCCATGATTAGGAACAGAGTTAGAGGTTTGAAGTTATCATTTTCTACGCATAGGACATAGGAATAAGCCTCCATCTGAGATAATGTCCGCTATGCAAAATGTGTACAAAAGGAAATACAAGACAAAAGAATATTGAAATTATCATTTTTTTCATGTGGTTTTGTATCCAAAGTATGAAATAGAATAGTCATACATCGTCAAAGAGTTTGGAAGGACAACAACCGTGTATATCACCTATTGCACTGGAAACGCTACAAAACTGGCCGATGCCTGTCCTACACTCAAAAATAAAGTGAAGTCTCCGAGTTGAATGTGTATCTAATGCGGTTTTGGCTTGTATCCATCAACAGCAAAATTTCGCGTGGCAGCAGGAAGTGCCAATCGAATTCCATCAATATCTGGATGTGCAATTATTTGGCAGCCCAGTCGCGATCTGCATAAATATAGTTTAGAATTTGAATTGCTAGGATGACTGACAAAACAATGCAACATTGGTTCTGGAGTAAGGGACATACGTCTCAGTGAGGCCAAAAGCAAGATCTAACATATCATTCTCCTCGTCGGTTGGATCTTCCAGCTTATTGTAATGATTTGGATCCTGTAAAATAGGAAAACATAATACAGCAATCGACATAGACAATGTTTCCCCTTTGGAAGATATTAAAGGAAGGAAAAGAATGAAAATTTGCCTTGAGGACTAGTAAAGAATCGTTCTCACACCATGACATACCATCACAATCACATGGCAAGTGGAACAGGCAAGGGATCCTTCACATGCTCCTGTAATCACATGAAAGCATTAACCTTTTGGAAATTGTAAAATACGAAAATACCTCAGGTAAATCTGGAAACCAGATTGAAAACAAAGGGACAAGATAATTCGTGCACATACAGCTCAGGGCATTTCTTACCTTCGAGCTCTATGTCATTTTCATGTGCAGCCTCTAACATTGACATTCCAACAGGAACCCTGATATACTTCTCTTCTCCATCCTTGTCTACAAATGTCACAGATATTCTGCAGGGTCCACAAACATCAAAGGTTAAGATGCATGAACCTACATTCTAGGCAGGGTGTGCTACTGATACAAGAATGCTCAACTGAAGTGCATGCATTTATCTTGGTCATTGAGATGCCAATTTAGCGGCGCTACTGGGATTACTAGTTAGGATATCGGAGAAATAAATTCACTCGGTTTCAAAGCTGACAATGGAGATATTAGCCTTATGTTCGCATAAGGAAGCTTCCACTCTGCAGATATTCACTACCTCTGGTCAACAAGTACAAAATTTCGAGGCAAAGATTCTAGTCAGAAGGCCAACAATTATTTGATAAAACTTTCCAAAAAGATGGTTCTCTTCCCTCTAGTGGGTAAATGAAGTTTTGACTTCACCTGTTCACATTCTTCTCAAGGTTAAGGATTTTTTAATCAAAGGAATATAAAAAGTAGACTTTTGCACGATACTGTCTGAAACTTAATTTCACATATAAGTAGCAGCAGAGAAAAAGAATGAGAAAGCTGCAGGTGATATCAGTAATGCAACCTTACTTTTCTTTTTCTTCATTTTGTTTCTCGAAAGCCTTATCAGGTGCTGCAGTAGAAAACCTTTGATGTATCTGCATAAAATGAACCACAAAATGAATGAGAAAGGGCAGGAATATAGATAACATTTTAATTTGCAATGACAGACTTCACAACTAATTAAGAGCTGACTTGCACAAAGATTATTACATTTCAGCAGCACAAAGAATTAATACAGAGAAGGCATAAAAAGGCAAACTTTGTCTTTAGGAAAATAAAATGTCTTGTCTCAATGTAATGAGATACTAACCAAAGGCAGCAAATTTTCATTTCGACACAAAGGGACAAGCAACGTCCTTGCTGTAGAAGCCAATGGAGCTGCAAAGCAACAAAAATGAGAGAAAAGACAAAACAAGATTGTGGCAAATTCCACAATCTTCTAACTGGTGGAGGGGGGGCAAGGTAAGCTTTTATTAAGCTGCGAAGTTATTGCATTATTTTTTGCAGGGCAAAAGCATGCTTATTGTAAGCTTGCACATACTTTCATCCACTAACCTTCTTGTAAGTCATACTTCGCACTAGAAGTTCTCTTTTTGAACAAATTTGCAAACCTCTTTAAAACCCATAACCACCTTAACAATAAAAGAACCAACATCGTGCCACCAGTTATCAGTTCTCTCCCCCGAAACCCCCAAAACGGTAAATTAACCAGATTGTCAAATATCTTTTCCACGTTCCAAGTGTTCTCCATCTCCTTTAATGTCCCTTGACAATGTTGACAAATCAAGGCATAAAATGAAAAATTACGCACCTTTAAGACAATTCTTGATGGCATGCGCTCCAAGCTTAGAAAGTTTTAAGGTAAACATATCCAGGCACCTGGCAGCTTCACCGCGAACAGCAAATACCACAAAAGCAAAACTTCAAAAAAATTGAACAAAAGCAGATCTCATGGACACAAATGGCAAAATTCTGCAAAGTGTCCTTATTAGTTTGAAAAGGTTACCAGCAGAGTTGGATTTCAAACTTGTGAAACTCATCAGTAATTCCCACTAAGATTTTTCAATAACATCAAAAAAAGTGTTGTACTGGCTTTAAACTATCTATTTGGCAAATTTCAGTGGAAAATGATGCAGAATACTTCCTGGCATGTTTGAAATTTACAATCCAGATGGAAGAAAGAAATATACTTACCAAAAAAAAATGTTTTGAGGGTACTTAAAATTTAACAGGAGAGCATGTAACATAAAAAATAAACAAAAACAAAAGCCAAAGGAAGAAGAAAATTCTATTTTCTTATTTTCTTTAACGAAAGTGAAGGTCACTTCGAAGATACTGGATTATTGCTCTCTTGGTTGGAGAACCAACATGGGAAAAATTCAGTTCCTCAACTCTTGGGAAGATAAATTTGGTGTATCCAAATCTCCCACAAATCAAGATTATACAAGAAAACAGTCAGTTAAAAGGGGAAAAGTAAAAGGGGAAAAAAGAAGAAAAGAAAATGAATGCTCAGCAATCATATTTCCCTTGGCTAGTTTCCTTCCCCTGAAACAAAAGGTAGACAGCCCTTAATGCAGAATAGAGCAGTTTGGTAGCTTGCAAGGGTCATAACCTTGAGGTGACCATTATTATTAAAAGATAACTCAATGGCTGAGCTACTAAGTTGCCAGCGGCACATTCTAGTTGCCAGAATTTTATTTTACACTGTCAAGCCCCAGTTTTTAACCAATAGACGTAAAAGCAAAAAGAAAAAAAAGAGAAAGAAAAGTAAATTAAACTACAAAAAAATATGGGCCTGAAATGAGGCTTCACAAAAGCAATAGTTTAGGGGCCCTCTAATAGCACGGAATAGTTCTTAAATTAGGAGTCAACATTTAATATTCAGTTCTAGGAAATGTTTTACTTTTTAGATGAGAAATTAGAACCCTTTACATAGACAACTCCTCATCTTTGAAAATCAAGAGAAATAATTTTAGGAGCTCAGTCAAAAGGAAAAGGTGGAACATCAACGCGTTAGCCTTTAGCATCTTCACACGGTGAAAGCCAGTAGTGTGTTTAATTTGCATTCTTAGGAATTTAAGGCCAAAATTCAAGAACTTAAAGTAAACAACTGACATGCATTAGTTAACTTAAATCAAACTCCAACAATTAAACCATGCTAACACCGCCACATTCCACTAACATTGAGATAGAATACAAGGTACAACCAAACTTTTCCTCGACTATTTGGCCCTGTTGCACCTTCAGCTGCAGCAGTAAAGCCTGCCACAACCGCAGGAGTCCTCAATGCTTCACACAAGGACACAGAACAAGAAAACCAGTTGGCTCTCTCTGTTAACTTCTGTTCAGGAATTTTCACAAACGCCTTGTGTACCATCCATAAAAATACACTTTCTTGCTTAAATATCGCTCCAAAAAAAATCTATCTAATCACACAAATTTACAACTCAAACACGAGACCAAATGCATCAACAAATGACACCATCAATGAAGACTAAGCATGGCAAGCAAATAAGAGACAAACCGAAAGAACAAGAACGTTCAATAAATTGCCAAATCAGAATAGCCAGTTCAATTCAGAAAACAAAAAATACCAAGAAAAAAAAAAGAAACTCAGAGATAAAAGAAAGAGTTTTTACAGTGCTATGTCAAAGTAGTTAGGCGGTGGAGGTCAGTGACGATGAACCCTTCTCCCTTCCTCGTTTACTCTTCTATTTTGATCATTTTCTGGAAACTGACAGAAATTAGAGGGTGAGGTTTTGGGCAGCATAAAAGCTTACAGAGAGTCGATTGATATTCCAGCCCCTATTTAAAAGTAGAGAAGTTCCATTTGGCCATTTCTTTTTTCTTCGTAAACAACCTTTAAAAATACTCCAAAATATATTCCAAAGCACATTCAAAAACATTACAAAAAACATTTACCGTGAAAATTTTTTAAATATATTATTATATTAAAATATTTCAAAAATATTTTTAAAAAATAATTAATCTAAACGGATATACACTGAATAATTGTAATAAATTAAGTAGAAAAAAGGGAAAAAAAACAAAAACAAAAACAAAATAAGCAACGTACCCATATATGCAAAAGCCCATTCAACCTTGTACCCATGTAACTCCACGCCGCACAATAATCACAAGATCAAAACAGCTGCAAAAAACTTTGTCCCTCTTTTCTTTTTAGAGAGTGTCTCAAATATTATTTCACTTGCAATATAAATATATTTTTTAATTTTATTTTTTATATTTTTAATTATTTTTTTATTTCACATATATCATATCATAAAGAATATTATAATAATTATTTCAAATAATACGCTATTCAATTCATCTGAATTTAGAATAATGGGAGATAGCCGTCAAAAAATAAAGACTCCCCTTCATCAAAATAACTTTCCCCAAAAATCCCAATTGGCAGTTTTAAGTCCTTTGACTCATTTATTATCAGTTATAAAAAGACTCATTTATTATACTAATACTAAAAATCCCATTCAATTCTACTGTACCACTCATAAGTCTAATCTAATCTATTACTCTCTTTTCTTGGTCTTAGATTTCAAGCCCAAATTTCTTTGCTTTCTGGGTTACTCATTCAGTCTCTTGCCTCCTCTTCTGCGGGTACCTTGTGGCTTTTTTTGTTTTTGTTTTTGTTTTAGATCTTTTTGTACTTGGTTTATCTGTTGTTGTTTTTATTAACTGGGTTCTATGGAATTTTCATGCATGTTTGAGTGTAAGAATTGGGTTTATTAAATTAAGTATTGCTTGGTTTCTTCTGTTCTTTTTAGTTGGGGTTATTACATGTCTAAGATGGGCCAGAATTAAAGCTCCTTCTGGGGTTTAAAGGTTGTTTTGGCAACTTGCTGCCCTGTCTTCTTTTATTTTCTGTGAATTTTTGGTCAATTTTCTTTGTTCCATGTTTTATAATCATAGATACACATGAATACAGCCTTTTAATAGGGTGAAATTTGTTCAATTAGCACTTCTTGGAGATTTTCCTGTAACTTAAAATGGTATTGTTTCACTAGAACAATGGTATTGGCGTTTGTCTTTGATGTTTTACTTCCTGCAGATTTATAGGCTGTAAATAGCTTCTTTCAGTCCAATGAGGAATGCCCATTTATTGCAAGTGCCGTATGACATCAATCCCAAACAGCATTGGGGGTGTTTGATTTCAAAAGGGTTTCTGAGGATTATTATTTTTAGCAATGCATTCAACTTTAAAAAAAAATTCATGCAACTTCTTTTATTTTTTCAAATTGTTATCTGTAGTTGGCTTAAAATATTTTTTATGGTGAACAATTTGTGAACAGTTATGGTGGGCTTTAAGAATAGATACTTGGTGATGGAGGTGTTTCTGGATCCAAATAAAGACCTTGCAGCTGATGAACCCATTATTATTACTCAGTTTAATTTGTCCAAAGCCATCAAAGATAGCATTCTTATGAATTTTGGCGAATGTGGCTTGGCCTCGTCGCTTAATTCATTTCAAGGTTAGCATTGTTGCTGTTTACTTTTCAGTTGAGCAAGTGCTTGAATGGAGATTAGGGAATACAATTGTGTTGTCTACTCATGTTGCTTGTTTTCATCAATAACGTGCATTTGTTTTATTGTCTTTGTTGCAGTAAAATACGTGAATCCTATTACAAAGCTCTGTATCATCAGAGCCTCAAGGGAGGATCATCAAAAAGTTTGGGCTGCAATTACCATGGTTAGGAGTATAGGGAATTGCCCTGTGACTTTCAGCTTACTTGCTATAAGCGGTGCGTTAGAACGGCTTCAAAATCATGTCATTGTAGAAATGTTGTGGTTTGTTGAAGTAGCTAAAAATGTTGAGGATAACTTTGTAAAATAGAAAAGCTACAATCTTTCTAATAGAATGTATGCCGAGGATTATTGTTCTATGGTTTTTCAGTTAATGGTATCCTTGCTCTATGGTTTTTCGGTTAATGGTATCCTTGCACACCGTAGGAGTTTATGCTCGTTCTCTTTATTTTGGCAGAATGATCTTTTGTCATAAGTTGTTTGACCAAATGCATCATGTCCTGTCTAGATCATTTTTGGAAACCTTGCTGGGAATTTATTTCACTAACTCAATTTGGTTAATACACTTGAATCTTATAGATGCTTGACCTGAAATCTCGTGAAAGCTCTAGCTTTACTGGCTAGAAGTGTAGTGGGAACCAAAATTCATTATTTGGTATTTGCCTTCTTAATTTCTCTTTTTCCTTCTATGACTTTAAAATCATGTGGAAGCTGGGAAGATATCTTGCAAGCACAGCTCTGACATGTGCATCCTATCATAGTTGATTTAGTACTAATCAGCACTACTATTGTCCTCCAAATAGGAAGTATCAACGCTTGCAAAAAAGCTGCTTTGAAGAGTGACGAATTGAAGTTTGAGCAATACAAGTTAATGGCCCAAGTCCAAACAACAGATGACATCCTTCAGCAGATGCAGAACTGTCTTGCAAAGATCAAAGTGTTGGAGCACTAAGGCCGAAGGTGTTGCCTTCAGATTTTCTCATTTCTGTCTTTCCAACTTGGGAAGACATTTTGCTATTCTACTCATACCTCTCTTGGATTGCCAGCTAGTTTCTACATGTGGCTTTGTCCATCATTTATACCTTCCCTCCATTGATACCAAATTAATACGGTTTGAGCATCGATGTTGTAGATATTAGGCATCTGTTTTAATTTTTCATAATGATTGAGTGATGATTGTGAATCAATTGTTATCAAGTAGGTCGAATGCACTTTTTAACTGTTGGTTCATACTGTCCACAGAGAATTCATTTTTCTATACTTAATCTAGTATTCTCTTTTAAAAGGGAAAGAATTATTCCCTGTTCCTTTTTTTCTTAAATCATTTTGTGTTATTGTTTGATGTTCTGTTGCTTATGGAGAGCAAGGTGCATCTTTAACATTCCAATAATGAGACTGTCTTTCTGCTGCCTTGCTCTCTGAAGCTGCATACTCCTGGATTAATACAGTGTTTAAAATGGGATTTAGTTACTTCTTGCCAAGTGGCAACTGCACAGTCCTGTAGTCCTGTTGCCCTTGCTCCAGCTGGGGGTTGCATCGATAGAGTAGGGTGGCAATAAAACTGTGGAGGGTGGATCGTCTTTTCTTTTCAAAGGCTTGCATGATTAAGTCATTTATGTTAAGTGCAAGCAAGGAAGAGTATGATTTTGGTCAAATGGGCTTTGATATCTGTGAATTTGTAGGAAAGCATCTCATTTTTTCCTCAATCAAGCCAGATTTCGGACTAGTCAGTGGTTTAAGCTTTCTACTTACAAGCCCTCCTTAGTAAGAGGAGATCATAATCTGGCTTTACAGAACACCTATTATGATCTATGACTTCTTCCAAGTTCCTTGTACAATTTCCACATTTGGTTGCTTTTCTGGTCTCGTTACCTTTTACTTTCTAAAATCTTTGATATTTCTGAGACATCAGTTATTAGATTGGCCTTATGCCTTGACCGTGTTTGAATTATGAGGTTGCTTATCTGATCATGGTCAGCTTTACTCATCTAACCTAATTTCTGCTAGTTCCTGGTAATCAGTGGGCTTATCACCTTTACTATGCGTTTCTTCCATATTTGAATGCTAAGATCATGTGACTATGTAATGTTTACCAAAAATTTTGATCAAGATGAATGTAGAGAAGTACAAGTCAAAATATGCAGAGAGTTGATGGATCAGGAAGTCTCAGTTCCTGTGTTAGAGTAGCAAATTACATAACCAGGAAAGTAATTTCTCACATATAGATAGTTAAGTAGACAAGAAATATCGATAGTTCTCGTACCACTTAGATACACTTCTCGCTACACCAAGTAAAAGTTGCTCTTCGCAGACTTCTAATTCGATCTGTTTCATGAGTTTAATGCAGGATTGCAGAAATGCAGGACAGCTGCTGAAACTCTGATAAAAATAGGTCTAGACTCTATAGTACACCAGTTCTATGATATTACACTCATTAGGTAACAAGCTCATTAACCTTATGTATTGGGGAACAAGAATGCTCGGCTTACTGTTCTCTGCTAGCCTGATCTCGAGTTCTCTGATTTAGCTCTATATCCATATAGCTTTGGCCCTTATAAGCAGTGGCTTCAGCTCACCTTTGACATTAAGGCCTATCACCTCATCAGAGCCACCGATCATCTCTTTGCCTATGAAAACAGTAGGCACACTTGGCTCTTGTCCTAGATGTAGCAGTTCCCTTTCCATTTTCTGACCATCTTGATGTTGATCAATCTCATAAACTTTAGGATTTGCCCCAAAATTGTTTATTAGTGTCTTAATGGTGTGGCACATGCCACAATTGCTTTTGCTGAAGATAACCACAGGATTTTCAGACCCCAACTTTGTAACCATGCCCATCTCTCCAAGAGCAAGGTGAACGGAGACTAGTTGTACAAGGTTTTCGGATTTAGAAGAGGCCAAGTATATGTTAGTTATAGTGAGGTATTGTGCTAAATTACTGGCAAAGTAGCAAGCTGTTTTATAATGGAGTTGATCTTGCATGAAATTATTTATAGAAGCTTAGAGATGGTGAGCTGCATGCTGTTGCAGATTGAAAACGATTGAAGAATGTTCCTGGTAAAGTCAGGCCAAAGCATTTGTAATCTAAAATCTAAATCACCCCAAATCATTGCCCCACATTGTCCTGATGTGCCTTATCTGCATCAACTTACATGTTGCAACATGGACATTTTAGCTTTTTTCATGTAACTAAACCAGAATTTCCTGCATTCAGCCCTCAGATTAAACCATAGCTTGTTTATTATCCTATGTCAACGGTGAGGACGTATTTACATTCTCGCCAAGCTGTTGTATAATTGAGCCAATCATTTAGAATTTCTACTTCGAAATGCATTGATAATTGTACCTTTTTTTTTTCCTGGCGTCTAGAATTGATATAAAAGGGATTTTTGAATTTACAAACAATTAAACACTCAAATCTTTGAGGCCTAAAGCTGCTTATGGCTTGCTTTTTACAGGATTTTAAGTAATGTGAAGATTTCTTTTCTAGACAATTTTCCCTTATTTGATGTGTGCATTCTTTGAAAACGTAACCTGTTTTCATCAACTATTGAGAATGAGAAAAAGTTGCTTATCCAAAATGTACGTATCACCTTTTTCAGTTCCCTAAAGAGAATCGCATCCAATTCACCCCACTAAGTTAATTGATGTGGAAACTATATCCTCATATAACTGCAGATGAAAATCCAGACCTGATAAACATGAGTTGAAGGTACCAAAAATATGAGGGCACTCGACATTAAAGAAAGCACATTATCCTATCAACTTTTTCACCATCGATAAAAAAGACCTGTCATCGTATCTCTAATCATGAATATCACGTGAAGACTTTGCCATATCTTTGTTTCTGTGGCACATATCCTCCATATCTTCTGATTAATATTCACGACAGGTTCTTGTGGAGGGTTAGACCTGGAGGCATAAAAAAGATCTACTGATAGTAGATTGGAGAGCCATCTGAGGCCACAAGGAAGAAGCAGAGAATAACAACAATTAGCAAATTTTCTTCTAGTCACACTAATTAACTCAAAAAAGGGTTTCTGACTCTAGTTTCTTTCTCATGGCCAAATTTCATTCTGCTTGCAATCTTTTTCAAAAGAATTGCAATGATAAATAATTTTATTCCATATGTTTTTCTTGAAAATCCTACTCAATCTGTGTACACGTGTTTGTACTGCCCCAATTAGATCAACAGCTTGCCTGATTAATGTAGGATTTATTTGTTGCATGAGCTGGATAATAACTTTTTTTTTTTCTCAGCAACGGCAATAATCTACGCTACTCCTATACTAATCTATACTATGGGGGAAGAGGAGTCCAATGGGGCTTGTATGGGAGTTGGGGGATGAACCTCCGACTAGATAAGTGCACTATTGTACTCTTTGGATTTTTTAAGAATATGGTAGTATTGTGCTGCATGAGCTGGATAATAACTGAAAAGCGTTATGGTAAGTACACATCCTAGCATCACACAACTCATTTGTCTATTTTCATTGTTCTATAAGGGTGCGTTTGATAAAACTGAAATCTGAAATTAATTCATTAAATTATTAAATTGTTAAATATCAAATCTAATATATTTAAGTGCATTCACATTCAGTGATAAGTGAACAACTTATCACTTAATTTTGGGAGCTAGTTTTGTCTAGAAAATTCAGTGTTAATTAATTCAAATGTTCAATTTTTGGTTATCAAACTTGTCTGAATATGTTAAGATTTAAATTCATTAAATTTAAGTACTGAATAGGTTATCAAACAGGGCTTAAGTATTTATTATTTGCACAAAAGATCGAGAACAAAAACCAAATTTCCTTGATTACATGAAAGAATCTGCAGCGATAAAATGGTTTGTTTAGACGACCACATGTACAAGGCACCAATTTACTAGTGGAGCAATGCGCACATATCATTGAACTAGTTTACACAAAAGCAACATCTATATATATCATGTCACCTTGTTGAAAATGCTAATACTCAATGCTATTTCATTCCTCTTTTGTATGTTTCCAGGGAAAAAAAAAAAAAAAGAGAAAAACTCCTACATATCCACTCAATTTGCATTGTTTCAGTACCCTACATAAATTTATTCTTAAATTGGCATCCATAATTTGCTGCCCTTTCCGTCTATCTTTTCAGTATATTTGCTGCTGTTTTCTTCATTCTGTCGTTCACATTGCTCTACTAATAATTGATGCATTATATATGGGGTCGTTTCTTTTATACAGGAGCACGTATGTTTGTTCTGCCTAATTGGAAATTTTTAGTCTTTTCCAGATATTTGCTTACTCCTAAAATGAGTTTGTTCGTGAAACGTTTTAGCCTCTTCTTTTTTTTTTCCCTCAAAATAAATAGCTTGCTTTGACCAAAAAAAGTGTAGTTTTAGTGAACTTTTATGGGTACACAGAACCATGATCCCAATATAAGAAAGAACCCTTTGGCAATAGGTTATCGAAGACTCTTGTTCATTTGACAAACAAAGAATGCTAAAATTTCAAGTTGTTCTCAAAGTTCTAAGTTACAGTTGTAAAAAGCATTGATGCATTTGGTTATAACCTTTAAGTCCCATTTTGTCTTTAAAGTTTCTAATTGTGCCAATGATTTTGGCATACCATGAAGAGCTTTAAGCACTCCACCCTTTCAAAATAACATATAACATCCACAACCTAATTTCTCTACTCAATTTAAATGCCAAAAAGACTCCGATTCATACGTAATGATCATATTTCATTACCTTCATGGAGAGCTCTCTACTACAAAATCTTAAAACTTCCAAAAACAAGAAACCCTAAACATGTTTTAACCCGTGAAACTCCACCTAAAGATTATTATTAGAGTTTTCCTTTTAAATCCACAGTCTGGGCATAATAATTTTTTAGCAAAACTACAACCTCAAAGTAGTTAATTCAAGTTATTAAATAGCCTATCAGCCAATCTTATCCATGTAACATGTCCTTTCCTACCCACCGATGTGGGACAAATCATGAGGTCTCACATACAATAGTAAAAAATTTTAGAAATTGGTGAAAGAGTATGGAAAAGCAAGAGCGAATTGAAGTGACATACAGAATAATGAACAAGACCTAAATAATAGACAACTTCTAAACTGCAAACATGATCGCAAATGAATAATGAATACCTTCCGAACAATAGCCAAACAAGGTCAATGGAGTGTATTCATCGTCATTATGGTTCTCCACCACTCACAGTAGTAGAAAATTTTAGAATTGGTGCAAGATAGTAAAAAGTAAGATCGAATTAAAGAAACAAGTGACAGAGGGTTGTGAATTTGGAACATACGTATAGGGGTAATTCCTGCTCTAGAATATTGTATTTGTTTATATTATTTTCATTAAAAAATAATAAAAAAATGCATAGAGATTTTGATGGAGTGCCAAAATCATTACCTTCCAATTATTGAAAAAGGCATTCATGAATTTGTAATTGATCTCTCTCGAGGAAACTTTATTTCAATTGATGCAAGTTTACTTTGGAGTAATTGCTATCTTACACATCTTCTAACAGACATAGTTCCACACTTTTATAAGATAACGTTGTTAATGTCAAGTTTTTTTCTTTGTAGTACAGCTGTTAGACAAGCTTTGGGGCCTAGATTATATCCATTAGTTTAGTCAAATGATTTACTGCTTAGCAAGCACTATTCTAGGGTTTACATTGGATTCGGGATTACATATAAAGTATAGATGAATGAGGCCTAGGAATCTTTTTTCCTATGAATCATATTTTTTTCAATAAAGTTTAGGGCCCTCCTAATTGTAATGAGAAGTCAAAATATGTAGATTGCTCTTTTTGCCAGTAAATGAAACAAATTTGAACACCCGTGAGTAAAAATGAAAGCAGAAGTTGCAAATCAATTGGATCTAGATATTAATTGGCCCATTGACATGCCTAATGGAGAGACAACAAGTGCTAACGCATGCTATGAGAAGAAAACTTATTGCTAAAATACGCTTCTTCCATGTTCGCAATCAATGGAGCTTTCCAAGCTCTGGGGACAGATTGCTACTGATTTCGAATCTCTATCCTGTCTGCTGTCTACTTTTTGATTCCTTTTGGTCTTCTCATTGTGTTGTTTGTTGATTTCACACGCTACACGAACACTTTTACTCTCCATTGCATCGATTTTAATGGGTTTCTTTTGATTGTAAGTCTCTTGATAAAATAACTTTGAGGGGTCGGATGCAAGGCATCTGCCTCGTTCTAGTATTATGGATTTGTGGTGGAGTGGTTGGCTAGTGATAGATCTAGGCGGAGGGAAAATTTCTTCGAAGCATTTCCTAACCCTATCTACGCCTAGGAATGTAAATGAGTCTAAACAAATTGAACTTTTATCGAGCCGAGCTAGAGGCAAGCTCGATTAACTTGAATTTTTTATGTGTAAATTTTACTTATATATTAATGGAGCCAAACTTGAAAATTTATCAAAAGCCAATTGTTGTTTAAGTTTAATTTGATTAGTTGGTGAAAAAGCTTTTACGGAGTCACACTAGATTTGAATATAGAGTAGTTTGGTTCATCTTTCGCTCCTATCTACGACACAAAGCATCCATAGGAGGAACAAAGTTCTCATACTGGTCCATCATCTTGGGCTGATGTAGTGAAAAGTGAAAACTACTAAGCTAAAGAATGGTTGACTTTTGTTGAAAGTTTTGGCTTCGGCGATGGTGACCTTCCAGAAACAAGCTGTGGTGATAGTTCTGCCTAAGAGGTGGTGGATGGGGTGAAGAAGTGGAAAACAGCTCTGGTGGGATTTGTTCTTGGGCATAACCCTCCATTTTCTGAGATGCAAAAAGTTGTCTCAACCACTTGGAAGGAATTTGGGAAAAATAACAAGTATGTTTTTTTGTGTTTAACTTTGAATCGGAGGGGTCTAAGATGAAGGTTCTCCTTGGCAATATTTCAACAAAATGCTTTACC